TTTTTCTCAGTTCTTATTTGTTACAGATTATAACCATGCAATATAACATACAAAGAAAGAAGAAAGACAAAGAAAGTAAAGGAAAAGATAAAGAGGATAAAGATAGCTACCACTGATCCAAGCACACTTCTTTCCACAATCAATCCTTTCTAATCATTAAACATAAAAGTCTTTTTCTCATACAAGTTCTGAAAGAGTCCAAAAAGAGTCCATACCTTGAGAAGAGATTTTAAGGTTTCGGCTGGCTTGATCTGCAGGAAATTTCCAATCAGGGGCAGGGGAGTGGGTCCCGGAGGAAGTCTCCCCTTGTGCAATTGTTTCCTCATAGATGATATGAGCAGATAGCAAGAAATGATGACAACAAGGAGGAGAATGAGTGTATCAGCCCATTCCATGGTGCAGGTTGTCAACTGCCCTTCTCTTTTGGCAAAGTACGAACTCCGGTCTCATCGAGCTGGGGTTATGATGTTTTATTGAGGTTAGTTGGGCACCGCCTTCTGTTTCATAACTGCTGAGACCTGGAGCACAAGTCAGCAGTAAGAGCAGACAGAAACCGACTATATTGACCATTAACCTGGACATTAACAAGGAAAACATATCATTGTTTATTCCTTCACGGCAAGGAATTGGACACGAAATGAATAGCTCTTGTGGTCTCTTCCAACTCTAGGATTTTGTAACAGATTTTTTCCTGGTAAAACAGTGTTGTGGATATTTTGTCCAGAAGGTATATGTGTTTTAATGTTTATCCTGCAGCAGACATTTTAAGATATCTTATGCAAATTACCCATTTTTATTAGCTTTAATTTTTTCATTGGATGATAAACCTCTGACAAAAACAAGGAGACATTAATGACAAAGTCTGACTGTGTGGGATTCAAAAGGTTTCCCATCCAAGGTTGAAATTGTGGTTCCTGACCATTTGCAAACATTTGCAGGAATTTAAAAGGTCCTTTGTTGTTGTTGGCACAAAAAACCTGTGCATTTTGTGAAAGCCACAGTTTGGGAAGATGTACAACTTTACAAAATAAAATGTGCATGAATTTTACTGTCATATTTTCTCTCTCTTTGCTTTGAATGCCTGGGAGGGAAAATGGCAATGGGGACTATTTGGTGGCTCCCCTCAAAGAAGCACTGAAAGCATTGTGGGAGCCAGTGGTTCTTTCAGTTTCCAGCAAGGCTCGTGTCTTAATAAGAGTTGATACTATATATAAATAAATACGCACAAATACATGTGTATATATGTATTTGTGTGTATATATACATATAGTATTATATCTGCCCTCAGCTTATACCTGAGTGTACCTTAGAATCGCTAATGCAATAACAAGAACAAAGGTTGGCAAAGTACCTGGACCAGATGGTATAATGACAGCTTATTACAAATGGAGAATAATCACTTACCTCCTAATGTTTATTCTGACAGCAGAGGTACCACTGAGAGCCATCTGAAATGAAATAATATTAAGGTAAAGAAACAAACCAAACTCAAAGCATATGCATATGATGTAATCTTGGTTCTAGAAAACCTGGTAGAATGTATGGAAGTATAATTGTTGTTGTTTATTCGTTTAGTTGCTTCCGACTCTTCATGACCTCATGGACCAGCCCACGCCAGAGCTCCCTGTTGGCTGTCACCACCCCCAGCTCCTTCAGAATCAAGCCAGTCTCTTCAAGGATGCCATTCATCCATCTTGCCCTTGGTCAGCCCCTCTTCCTTTTTCCTTCCATTTCTCCCAGCATCATTGCCTTCTCCAAGCTTTCCTGAATTCTCATTATGTGGCTAAGTACTTCATCTTTGCCTCTAATATTCTTCCCTCTAATGAGCAGTTCGGTTGGATCTTCTCACGGTCCACTCTCAGTTCAAAAGCATCTATCTTTCTTCGCTCAGCCTTCCTTGTGGTGCTTCTTTATGGGTGTGTTGCCATTACCTTCCCCAGGGATTGCATTTGGTCTGACATTTCTGCCATGACCATCCTGCCTAGGGTGTCCCTTCACGGTTTCACTCTTGGCATCATTGAAGTGCTCAAGCTCCAGCGCCGCGACAAGGCATCGATCCTTTGCTGGAGGGAAGTACTGTATTATTAAACCCATCTAAATTGTCAATAATAATACATGTTTGAAGTCTAAACAACAAGGGAAATATTTTTGAGTTGGAGTAATGCGTCCAAAATATCTATTGCTAAATTGGGGTCATTCCAAGATAACTGATAAATGCACAAAGGTCTGTGCAAGAGAAGGAATGGAGATGAAGGGAGAATAAGAAGACAGTCCATTGCCTCAGTGAATCTTGATGATCTCCTAAGATATAATGCTATTTATGAAATGTCCAGACTGTTTCGAGGAGAGAGTTTATGATTTCTGATTACTTGATCTGTGGAAAATCCCAAACAAAGGCAGGGGATTGGGTCCATAAGGAGGACTCCTCTTGTATGATAGTTTCATTATAGCTGGCAGAATAACAAGAGAGAAAAGGCAGATGACAAAAAAGAAGGTAACTGAACCAGCAAACTCCAAGGTGCAGATTTTGTAGTCATGTATCCACTCTCATTCAGTTCCACATATTTTATCAATTGTGGGTTTTTTTGGTAGGATGTAATGCTTTAGAGAAGACAATGATGCTTGGGAAAGTGGAAGGTAAAAGGAAGAGGGGTCGACCTAGGGCAAGATGGATGGATGGCATCTTTTAAGTGACTGGACTGACCTTGAAGGAGCTGGGGGTGGTGACGGCCGACAGGGAGCTCTGGCGCGGGCTGCTCCACGAAGTCATGAAGAGTCGGAGACGACTGAACAAATGAACAACAACAATGCTTTAGAAGAAAATATGATGAATACTTTTCCTGTGAGGTGTAAGTCAAATTCACTCAGCTATTCCTTGGCTAGCAAGTACTGTGACAATTAGGTCCAGAGGAAAAGATATAGATTTGCAGTTTGTTGTTTCTGAAAATAAAAGGATTTGCTTTCATGGAACTTAGAAATGAAGACCCACCACAATGTAACCCTAGATTACATTACTACTCTGCTAATCCAGATTTATACTCTGTCAGAGCCTTTATTGGATCTTAGTATAGATGTGCTGCACTGCATTGCGTTGAGACACAATAGCATTCACATGGGGAAAGTATTCAATTCCCATTCTAAATTGTTGATACTTCAAGGATATTATCAGTCAAATATGTTGTTATGCAACATTCTGCTGTATCCAAGGTATGTAACCCAACTTGATTGTTCTGCCACCCCCCCCCCCCCCCCCCCCCCCCCCCCGTGACCTCTAAATCCTGCTATGCAGATAACCAATGAACACAGGACTCATAAAAGACAAGGATCAGTTATTAGTGAAAGTTATCAGTTGTCAATTATGGTCAAAAATCCAACTAGCAAAGTAACAACATGTAAGGTGAATTACTGATGGTTGGGAGAATGAAAAAGGAGTATCAATGCCATTTAAAAAAAACAAAGTTGTATAACATTTATTTACTTACTTGCTTATTTCATACACTATTCGGCCCTATAGAAAGAGCGAATATGGCTTCCAAGGTTAATAACAAAAAATAAACTTCAGCAACAATAGCCGTCACACCCATAACAAATTTCTCCCAGGCATGGGGGTGGTACCTTATATAATAGTGGAATCGTCCCTAAAAGAAATGGCAATTTGTAATGTAGTAGTGCTGGTCATTTGAGGACGAGGGCTAAGGAATATATCCTATGCCACTCTCAGAGCACATGAGCACCCAATTCCTTTGAGAACAATGATCTTCCAAGTGTGAGAATAGATTGAAAAGAAAATGCGTCAGTGGCAGGGGAGTGGGACACAGCAAGAGCCTCCCCTACTGTGATAGTTTCTTCATAGCTGATTTATTTATCGTGTCAGGGGCAACCAGATTATTGTATTACTTTCCTAATAGAACAAAACAAACAAACAGACAAAACACAAAATT